ATGTAGATTGCGTGTGAAGAGGCTCCCAGGTAATTCTCGACGCTTTATTTCGCGCTTTGAACCGGCTAGAACACGAGGAAGAAATGGTGGCCGTGCGCCGAGCGAAAATTGGAAACGAAAATCTCTACTGGTTTTTGGCGAGAATTCGTTTGTTTTGTCATTACATTTTCGTATGTGTTTCTGTACATCTATGTGTGTTTGTATTCTTGGATGCACAGAAAGTTCGTTTTAAAAGATAATCTAAGTAAATGAAAAATTGAAAAAAGATTGTAATTGTAAATGTAATACATAATGCTTTGCTAAGACAATAATCATAATATGAAATTTTTAACTCTAGAAAAAAATCCAGAAAAATAATAAAAGTAATAAAAATAATAAATAATCAAAATCATTGAGAATGTTAAATTTAAATGAAAAAGTCTTTGTTAAGAAAAAATATTCTAACTTTTACAGAGGATATATTCGTTTTATTAGGAGATGTTTTTGGAACAAGCCGTATTTACATCCCCTGATAGGTTGCTTCCGGCAAACATTAATTATTCCTGGCTCTACCTAAATTATTCTTGAATGACCTTGAAAGCACGAGGCACAGGGAACACGGCAAATTAATCGCGGCGAGAACTCACCGGTTGCGGTCGAGGTCGTCGGCTGATAGGGTGCTCCACCTGGTCCAGCGGGTTGTCCTCCCGGCGTCGCGGGGGTGCCACCATGAGACGTCGGGATGCCGCGATGTGGTTGCGAGTGCGCGGCCGCGGCCGCGCTGTGTGCGTGAGAATAAGACTGCGTGAGCGAATGGAGAGGCTCGTGAAACACGTACGCTGGATAACCCTCTGCACGTTGTTGAAGACAGCTTCCACCCATTGACCCTCCCAGACTACTTGACATCGAGCTGAACATGAAAATATCCATATCGGAAAACAATGAACAAATCGTATTTATATACTCGTACATTAATGATGAATTCTAAAAATTCTTTAATATTTACAATAATTGTTCATATTACCACTATTCATTGAATGACCGAGATTTATTTATTCTTGTATGAAAATTTTACAATACAATGCTGTTACTTTAATGCAAAAAGTTTTCTTACCTGTATGTATCGGGCATGGTAGCGATCGGTTGTGGTATCGACGAGTACATGGCGTTGAATCCGGCGTTTAAGGGCAACCGTGGCGTAGCAGGGGTGGCCGCGGGAGGCGCGGCGCCGCTGCTACCTCCGCCGCTGCCGCCAGCGACCACCTGATCGACGGCGGCCCTCCTCTGGTTCCGTAATTTCTCCTCTCGACGCCACTTCGCCCTGCGATTACTGAACCACACCTGCAACCGACACAATGACGATGCCTTTGTCACGATAAGTGTGCAGCCGCACACTCAGCGCCGCCGGCACGGTATTTCGCATCATCCGTACTCGTTCGCACTCGCACTCGTTCGCGCTCCACGACTCTCTTCTGCTTCCTCTCCGGAGAGAACAACTTCACTCTCCCCAAACCACCCTGTTGTCTCGCCCTCTCTCCTTCTCTATTCCCCTTTTTCTGCTTCTATCCGACCGAGTCTCTCGTGAACTCCAGAGGTATACTAGAGGTAGCGCGAAATCTAGCGCCCAGATACTCTTTTCGCATCTCGTGCGAACAGACGCACGAGTTTACATGAGGCGCTCCTCCAATTTGTTAATTGCGATTGAGCAGTTGTCAGACGGGAAATTGAGTTACTCTTGCTCGCTTGGCCCTTTCCCGTTTATAGCACCCTTCGTTCTGGTCCCTCATACATCCTCTCTACATGTTTTTACCTGCCGCCCCTTTGCTGTCGTGCATTTATATGCGTTTCTTTTCAAGTCTCTGATTGTGTTACAAATTGCACCGATATTCAGGAAAGATACTGTAGGATCTACAGTGTAGGTAATACACATTTTTGCATTTACAATATCGAGATGATCCAAAGATCCTTGATTATTTCTATTTATTATTAAATTTTTAAAACGTCGATTAACTTTAACTTTTTTATATTTAATCGACTTCTTGTTTCTTTAGAAATACTATAATTAGAAAAAGGTAAATAATACGTCAGAATTATATAAAAATGTGACGCTATAATGAAAATACACATTGAAGAATTAATAGTGCCTTTCTATGATTGTCTTTTTTCTATACCGAAGTGACATTCCAAATAACAAAGGCTCGTACAATAAATCGAGACTGTATCGTTCTTTACTTTCTTTACGCCTGCACGGATTTCCTGATTTTTGTGATTCCCTCGCCGATAAGAGGATTCGTCCCCTTCGATATATCGGTTTTCCCTCGCCGACACTTAGAGCAATCCATGAATCGTACATTGGCTTTCTCATAAGATCTTTTTTCTATGTCGCAATACTATTTCAAATCTTAATTGTATAAACATACAAGTATGTTGTATGTATATGAATTTGCTACGCTTTTTTGATAGTTTTTGTATATGAAAAAATATTTTAATGGCATTCTACATAAATACGTTTTATTTTTATTGAACATAATGATTATAAATTAGATTTATAATTCAAAATTGCGATGTAAATATTGATTGACGGACATGACTCTTATTCACACACGTAGTTAAACCAATTGATTATTAATTGGAAGAGAAAATATGATGATTTAATACAGCCGATAGTTGTACAATTATGACGCAAGTTTTTGAAAGAGTAAGCCGCATATTTCCGCATCCTAGCGTACGGAGATGAAAATAGTGGACAAAGCAATAACGGAAATTTCCATTTTTGCCGATTTTGGTGTAACGAATTATCGCGTGTGCGATATGGGAAAAAAGAGGGATGTTTTTCCCAGCGGAAAGAAATGCCATCAACGTAGAAATACAAGCCTTCCGCAATCTCACGTATAACGCCGCGATACGAGCACGACGGGGGTCCTCGATTGAATCAAAAAATAAATTCCATCCTCCTGTCCTCCCATTGGCGCAGCAAATCGTGTTCGACCACCCCACCGTCAAATATCTGCCATTCGCTCGCAGCGGGCTCCTTCCGCCCAATACTATCGTCCCTCGTAAACTCATCCTCCCTCGTTCCAAAAACTCGTCCGAATCGATCCACGCGAAAGTCTGTGATCCGAACTCGTTCGGTCCTTAGTGTTACTCAAAGAACACAATCTCCTCTCATCCTCGTCAACGGCCGAAATGCGGCGGAGACCGGTTTCCAACGCTGGTTTCTGACCTTGAAATTTTCGATCTTCATTCACGATGTGCGAACTAGAAGCGCAAGAAATCCGCTCAGCGGTATCTTGAGAGATAAATGAAGCGTAAAAAAAGATATAAACGAGAGTGATTTATGATTATCCAGAAATTGCTCGATGACTTTAATACAGATCTCACATATGTAATATCCAACTTTATGATTTATTATTTGCGTCTATTATATACTTAGCACTCTCAAAAATCCTTCTTTATCCTCGTACCGTATCGGCCATCGCGCTCGCACGAATCGAGCATTAGGAAATGCCGCGGATGATAATCGGCTGACGATAGTAGTACGGTAGTACGGCGTGGAGTATCTCGTGGCCATGGCCGAGGTATATAGGTGGAAAAGCGAGGGATGGGCCAATCGGAGGGCAACCTCCCTGGGGACACGACCATGGTTGCCATGGTTGCGTCCGAGAACCCTCTTAGGCCTTTTGCACGATCCCTCGCGGTTCGGGTAGGCCGCGTTTACATGCTGCGCCGCGCCATGCCGCGCCATGCCGTGCTGCGTAATGTGTTCCGCGTGTTCCGTGTTCCATTAAAGATCCTGACACCTCATTCTTCGTCTTTCACATACTTTGCCATTCAACGATCGTCCAGCAATCGGTCTAACTCGGCGATCTCCGCGAGACTTCCTCTTTCGTCCTTTCCAGCAAGCTCGACTATCTTTGTCTCTCTTTCGGTTTCGCTCGATCTCGCTTAGTCTTCCTTCCTCCCCTCCCCTCCTCTCTCTCTCTCTCTCTCTCTGTCTCTCTTTCTCTCCCTCTTCCTCGTCGAACTTCTCCTTTTCCCTCCCACGCCGGAACTCCCGGTTTCCTGCACTTAGCAAGATCAATACCAGCCAACGAGGCTTGAAAACATGCGTCAACATGGTCTTGCACTGTTTGTACGTCCACATAACGCTCAGCGCGCCCGGTTACTGCTGCCACACCGAACCCCGCCGGCCACTTCGTCGACCCTTCCGTCTCTTCATACCGCGATGGTGCAGGTGAGAGATGGCAGGAGGTAGAGAATAAACGCGTTCAAACAATGTTCGATAAGGCTACGTATTAGCGGTTTGACGTTGATATTAATTATAATTATACAACACGGCATTTTGCACCCTTTATATGATTAAAAAGTAAGAGGTATTATCGAAGTGTGAGAGAGTTGCTAAACACCGTCAACATATATTATAGAAATAGTTACATAACAACATACATAACAAAAGCTTAATTTCATTAAAAATAACGTTTCCACGTTGCTAATAACTGTTTAGAACAATGATAATGAGATGAAAATGTAATTGTGGCTAACATTATGATGCAATTATTGAGTTATTCGTAACAGAATACGAATAATGAAAATAGAATTAATCTTGATGTAACAACATTGATTCTAGATAGGATTTATATAAACAAATATAAGCTTTATAAAAAACAAAATAATACATAACATCGCGTCATAATAATTTAAATATGCGGATCTTTTAGAAATTCTTCTGAACTTTTAGACTGTTAAAACTTGTTTTATTTATCATAGAAATTAATATTAACTTTTCATATATTTTGATTGTCACAATTCTTCTATTAGTTGTAGCTTTTGCTTTGTGACATGAAAAATATAAACTTGTTTCATAGAAAAGTGACGGCGACCAGAGAGTTCACGGAAACTTTATAAGGAAATGAAGAAGGGTTACAGTGGCACTACTCACTTTAAATGCGAAGTTTTGTGAGTTTTCCTGATCTGATAATTTAAATGATTCTTGGTCTATTGAGATTTCTCGTTTCTCGTGATTCTTGACTTTGTCAACGAAATCAAAGATTCGTCGAGTTTGAATCGTAGAATTTTCCAAGTTCTTCAAAACGTTGGCCAAAATTCAATTATTGCTGTTTTGCAATATTCAGTCTTATAAAACATTCAGGTTTGTACATCTGTGCTTCCGCTATCCCTATATGTTGAATATTCCAATATTGAAGTTAATGGAAAAACGTAGCGCATTCCTCTAGAATAGATTTTAATAAACAAATCGTATATCTGTCTATATATAATATATCGCAAATTGACAGAATAAGTCCCATGTGCACGTAAGAATACGTAAATGGCGGCGAAATAGACGGACGAAGAGGTGACAAAATCCCATTGGAAGCGGGCGGCACCAAGCTCTCGCTGTCGGAGGTGTTTAATGTTCCCCACGTACGACCACGTGGCCGTACGTTAAAAGCGTTTAATGAAAGGGCGTCGTCGCACTTACGCCGTTCGACCCTCCTGGGAGGAACGGGCGGAATAAGAAGAGAGAAAGACGCGCCCGGGGGAAACAGGGGAAGAGGGCTGGCGAGAGGAGGACAGATGGGTGGAGCGAATGTCGGTAGAGGAAGCGCACACACGCCGCATTCGCACATTCACACTCACCTGGATACGTGCCTCAGGTAATCCGATCTTCTCGGCGAGACGCTCCCGTGCAAACACGTCCGGGTAATGTGTCCGCTCGAATTCTGAAACGAAACCAGTTTGCAACAAGTGCTCGTTATTTAGCCGCGTCGTCGGCATTAATTATCGCGATATATATATATATATATATATATATATATACGAAGCTCGCCGGCCATCGCATATTTTCTCGACTGAGCGGTTGCCAGAGACTGAATAATACCATCTCGATGTATCGGAATATGTATCGACGATTTTTGTATCTCAAATGAATATAAAGTTTTAACTTGAAGCTTTGGTATCAAGAAAAAAACTACAAAGTTGTGAACAAGCCATTCAATTAAATGTGAGAAAAAGATTAATTGAAAAAAGGATTTGTAGCCAAAGGAAAGCACGCGATTTTTAAGAGATCGTGTATACTGAAGTTGATTGTCAAGATTGATAACTTTTCCATCAGATTTTCTACTGACCTTTCTCGAGGCTGTCTATCTGCTCATTAGAGAAGGAAGTTCGGTTGCGCTGCAATTTCCTCTTCAACCTCAGCCGCACTTGCGAGTCCTCGTCGCCAGAGGAGTTGTGCTCCGAATTACCGTCCGAAGTTGTCTCCTGCTGATGCGACAATAGAGACCCGGTATCTGAAACAGGAATTAATTATCTTTTCTTTAAATATATATTACTTTAATCTTAAATATATCTCCCTCATTTGCGATTATTAAATGAGGTTAATTTTGTACAATTGAAGTTTACAATTATATTTGTGATTCTTAAACTCTGTCAAATTTAACATTATAAATTTAACATTAATTATTTTTCAGTTATTATTATATTAAAACAATAAAGTTTGAATATTTAACACTTTTCACACATTGTGAAAAGCATTCCGATCTAATTAGGAAAACCTATACATCAATCGGCCGATCTCGTAACGCGATCTGCCGTTCTCGAGATTCCTAGACACCGCCGCGCGTCCAGGCGTGCGCGACCGGTCTTCGGGGTCGCATCTCGTGTTGGTGCGTCGATTCGTACGCGCGCAAGGGTAGCCCCTTGTCAAGCCCCGTGGGCCGCGATTACTTTCCGCCTCCGCGCACCACACCCTCGTCTCTTTCCATTCCTCCCTATACCTTCCCTCCGTGCCTGCGCTCTGTCCGTATTCGTCCCTCCGTACAGCGATGGAGAGATGTACATATATACGTACGCCCTTACGCTCGCGTACATAGGTATGTACATATATATATATAAAACATATATACATACATATACCGTTTGCTCGTCAGCTGCTCGCTTTCTCGTTCGCTCATCTCAACCCCCGCGCAACCCCCAATTGGACTCGACCCTGCGAAACCCCCTCGACTAGAAATACCGGCACCCCAAACACGCCTCTCTCTTTCCCTCCGGTTCTTCCTGCCTCATCGTTCTAACCGTTGACTCCCGTTCTCCTTCTTCCCGCAAAATCCACCCCTTCCCCTCCGCGCTCTCTCAAACCTCCTCGCGAACATCCCTGCGCGTAACGATCAGACCAAGAACGATCCTCGGCAGTCCGCTGCCGAGACGGATCGTTGGCTTTAATTTTCTAGGTGACGACGCACGCCGACGAAGAAAGAGAAGAGATTAGCTCGATGCTCTCTACAATCCGGCCGCTTAATGCGCTCGCTGCGACCAAAGTGGCCGCGATTGACCATTCGATGCGTTCCTGTGCATTCAAGTGTGCCCTACAAGCGGCACTTTGACATATCCAGTGAGATATAAATCACTATCTTATAAGTAGTGACACAATTTAAGACACACCTTAATATAAATTTTTAAAAAGTCCTTCGCTGTGTTTTGTTCATAATTTATTTAGTTTATTCGTATTAGATTTAATATTTTATTATTGTCATATGAAATTATTTAATATATATATGCCTTATATATTCCAATACAAATAATCATATTAAAATATAATATTTATTTGCATCGAGAATAATGTGCATAATTAAGATACACGAAATTTCAAGAGAGCGAAAAATTATTGACAATAGCATTCCGGAGTTCTTAAAGAATACGTTGCTAGGCATTGAAAGCACACTTTCCTACCTGTCACTACCACGATTCATGTAATCTGTCTATTGAGGATAGCCATATCTGGATTCGTTATTTGTGAATTGATTCTAGCTAAGAGCCGAACCGCAGGACTTTTTGTAATCCTATTAGACTTATAACATTGCAGGACGGATTTTTTTTTCTCTTACTCGATAGCATACATATACATACGTACATATAAGGTGACAAAAAAATATATGAAATACAATGTAACGAACAATTTTCACAAATCCAGCGAGATGAGATGTATAGAAAGGAACCAAAGCATTCCTTCAAAAACATACATATTTTTATCTTCAAAGACAAATATTTGTTTGTCGACATTTTAATCAATGTAAAATTTGAAGTTTTTTGCACAAGAGAAAAATTATTCTACATAGTCCTTATTTACTAAATCAAATTATTTTTTAATATAAGGCTTGTCTTTTATTTGAAAGATAAAACAAACAATTGAATTGATAAGAAGATAAATAAATGTTAGCTCCTGCATCCTGATCTCTAAAATAATAATTAAGGTATGTCTTGAACCAATAACGATTCCGCTAATATTTCCGCGAGCACTTCATCATGGTTGAAGCAAAAGTAAATCAAAACTTACCACTTCGCTTCAGCAAAGAGTCGTCGCGTCCGTGAAGTTGACTACCGGGCAAGAGAGTCTGGCCGGATCCAGGAGTTGCCGCGGTTGGAATTCCCGTGGTCAGGGGATGATGGGGAGGTGTTGCCGAGTACCACGCTGGCGGCCAGCCTGCTGCCTGCCCGTTAAACATTCTCAGCTTGTCGTAGACGCTCTCGGCACCCTGATGCGCTTGCACCGCGGCCGCCTGTTGCTCCTTCTGCGAGGCCAGGTTCCTGAGTACCCTGTTAATAGACGACACCTACAAAGAGAAAAATTTTCGATTGGAATCAATTCGAGTCATTTATTAATTAAAGAGATCTCCTATAAAGAGATCAAGAATATGATGAAAAAGATACTTTCATCTATTCATATTTTTTATTCAAATTATTGACAGATTTTTATATAAATATATTAATGTCATATATTCGTTTTTAATTCTCTTAGAAAAGTTAACAAAAAAAAAGTTAACAGAATATTAATATGCAAATTATTTTAAACTTTATGTTATTTATAAAAATGTAACATTTTAATGATTAGATTTTGTAATACAATAAACATTATATTATATTTTTAAATATAATTTAATTATCGAAATTGGATTCGTTGATATCGTTAATATTATTCAATTTTCTATCATTAATAATTTAAAATTGTTGAAATAATTATCATTCTTTTTTTATTTCATTTTTAATATATCTAATCTAAAGAAAAACAGATGATCTAGAGAAAATGTGCTGCTTTTCTATACTAATGATTCGCGATGTATTCCTACATACAGGATACCTCCATCATCCTTCCATGATCAAGAGAAAGAAAGACAGAGGCGAAACGGATCGGTAGACCGGGGCGAGGGTCTTTGTAAAATCTCGCGACCGCAGCCACTCGTCGTCGCACGAGAATCATTTCCGTCGTCGTAGCTGCGTACAGATTGTCCGCCCTTCGCCGTCATCCCTTGCGCGGAATTCTTCTTCCTCTTTTTTGTCCTTTCGCAACCGCGGGATGCGAAGAGAGTCATGCCAGATGAAAGGATACCGCCATCCAATTATTATTACATAAAACGATCTCCATGGCTCTTCGTCCCCCTCCAATTCGGGCACGGTCGCCATCGTCATCGATGTCGTCTTCACCTTACGCCCGCAACCGAGCCACTGGCTAACTCCAAAGTTATAACGAGCCGGCATATAGCATAGGGATCCAAGCATCGCGCTCTCAACTTGCACATAATGGTCCTCGGCGAGCTCCATACGCGCGCCAACCCTATCCTCCTCACCCTTCTGCAATCGACGCCGGGCTTGATGCTGCAGCCGAATATACATACGGCTGTTAATGCAGCGCGGACGTCGGATATCGAGCGAAGCTTCTTAATTACGAGGTCGACAAGCTTCAACGAGAATGGCGTGAGTGTGCAAAGCCGATCCTTCTCGCATAGTTTGAGTCAAAACCGATGGAATAACGGTCGAGTGACGTCGACGTAACGTCGCTGTTAGAATAGTGTACTGCACGGTCTATTATAGCTGAATTAAAGACACGGAATCCTGACTTCGGTAATTAAATTATGTTCAGATATATTCGTGAATTTTGTATCGTAAACGCACTTACTTTTTAATGTTAATACTATCATAATGTGATAAAACTAGTTAGGCAATACGAGAAAAGATAAAATATCGTTCAAATCTCTAATTTTTTATATTAATAAAATATTAAAATAATAAAATATAGTAACTGCAATTAATATATTATATAATAAGTCTCACTGTCTTGACTCATTTCGGCGTTATCGAGTAGTAACAGGCGAATAGCGGAAACGACATTTTGAGACGAGTCCCGGCTAACCCAGACCAGGCTCTTCGTCATCAAACCATCTATCCAGTCTGGATGCTGAGAGACAAAGAGAGAGAGAGATCCTGGCTGTACGCTTCGGACCGCTCCACTCTCGCCGCACAACAGCCGCAGCGTCGATGCAGGCCATTACACGCGCGACCGGACACGAATAATTGTGCAACACGCTTAACTGATCCCATTCACCCTGATTCTACCCGCTCTCGCCGCCGACTAACCCCGCGCGCACCCCCGACACCAACCCCCAATGCAATGTGTACCAGCCGCAATAGCCAACGTCACCGCCAATGTTACCAGCGATTCACCAGTAGTCGAAAAAAGATCGAAACGATCGAAAGAATCGATTTGTCGATCAAATAACATCTCCTCCCTCGTTTCTACCTTTGAATTACTCTCGAAAACAATTCTGATTTTTTTATTCTCTGATTATTATAAGAAATTTCATATATTAATTGCATTATATTTTATTATTTTCTTAATATAGAAAAACATATTAGTATTATTATTATTATTATTATTATTATTGTTATTGTTATTATTATTAAAGCGAAACTTGTCACTTAAAAAACCGAGAGTAAATATTCAATATATTAAGAGACGAGATGTGTGACAAAGTAATGTTCTGAAATGTAATCTCGCTACTGACTGGCACATTACACGCTTGATGACAAGAGTGCGTGCTAGACGTTCTGATTAATCATCCTAGAATCCCCAATATCCACCATCAACCTTTTTCATTCGGCAGTTCCTAGGAACACATTGGCAAAAGCGAGCTTGTTCCACAAGCCGATGGATAACGACTTGTACGCGTGCCATCCCCCTCGGTATTCCTGACAGGCAGTCGATAGGAGGGATGCAGAAAGAGCATTTTCGAAGAAGTCAGACGAGGACGATCGACCTTCGAGGATATTTCGCGCGATCGAGAAGGGACGTTGGGTGGGCAGGATGTTTGGTAGATGGACGGACGTACAACCGGAGAGGATTCTTCGGGTTCGGAGAAGGGCGATCAGCGCCCATAGGAGGGTGGACAATGCCGAGGTCCGCGTAATGGACCGATTACCCCACCCAGCCGATCGCATTGACGAGACTTTGATTAGGGTCGAGTGGCCGGATCCGACGGGTAAGTACACCCGACCGGCTGCGCGTCACGATAAGTCGATGGCGGATTACGCGTAAACTTATACCGTATCCAATCAATGGTTCGGTATGGCGTCGACCTAGCGGGAAATTTATTCGCGCGTTCCGCATTTGTGTACAAGACGAAAGAATTGTGTATGCGGTCTTGAGCAACTGAAATTTGCGGACCAAGTCCGCTCACCTAAATTTACTTCAAATGTAGGCTAATACGATATTTAAGCGAAATATGTTTAATCAAAATGTTTGCCAATGTTTAATCATTCGACAAGCTACGTTTCTCTATATTAAGCATATCTCATAATTGTTCTTTTTTTACTTACGCTGGGTATATTGTCGTTATTGCAAACACCTTCTTGCAAAAGTCGATCGCGAATCTCCCAGGCGAAGATCGAGGGACATTCTCGTTTGTAATCGGCGATTTTGTTGACCACAGGCGTTGTCGCCACTCGTGGCTTACTACCGCCGATTGCCCGCGGCTTGATCGAGCCTGTTTCGTAATACCTGTAAAAAAAATTATTTTCGTTTAATGTATATTAATTTTATGCCACACGTACAAACACACACACACACACACACACACACACACACACACACACACACACACACACACACAGACTCACGCACGCACGCACGTATGCACCCGTACACACAGTCTTTTCATAGTATAGTTATTGAAAAAAAGCAAGATTCTTTGTACAAGAAATCATTGGATGAAAACTAGCTTTATTAATATTCCGTAATTTGTGCAGAGGAACTATTTTATGTTCACAGAAATATTGCGTGAAAAAAATGGAGACATACGCGCGTAACATACAGATATTTGGCTGTACATATAACGCTTGTTATTATGTACCCAATTATTTTTAAATCTCGCGTCAATAAATCGCGAAAAATATCAGAAAAGTCTGTGATTCCCGTTGCAAATTTATCGATTGGATTGCTTCGAGGAAATACAAACAGTTGTATCTTGTGGTCATTGAATCCGATTAATTGGATCTGCTAGTAGACAACGGCAATCAAATTCCATTGTTATTCAAGTCGCAGGATGGTTTAATTTCCTGAACGTCTTGATCCATGATATCGAGGGAGATCAACATGCGACCGCGCATTATTTACCTGCCGAGGATCTTGGAGACGCATCCATTGCTGACCTGCAGTATGCGCGATATGTCGCACGGTCTGGCCCCGCTGTGGGCCAGCTCGACGATCTTCTGCCTCGTGGAGTCCGGCAGTGGTCGGCCATTGACGTAAACGCCGCCGAGCTGGTTAACTCCGCTGTGTCCTGCAGCCGAGCACCCAAATATTGAGTTCTGTCCGACCATAGAACCCCCGCCAATACCCGCGCCACCCCCGTGCATCAAGTCCTCCTCTGTGAATCAAAACGCGCGCAACGTGTACGTCACTTCGCCAGAACATCTGATTGGTAAACAGCGGACAGTACGCGCGCCGAACACGTTCTTATTAGTCTAATTAGCGCTCGCGCCCGTTGCACGGATCCGGAAGCATCAGATTGAACACCAAGGGAGATGTTTGCGTCGCGATCACACGCTCCGCCGCCCTGCGGATGTCACGTAACGAAGATCAGTTTGACCCTTGCGCGCCGATTAATTCGCTGCCGTGTACCTTATTACGGTTACATCCGGTGTACATCGGTGTGCATCGTGCGCGGAGAAATCGCCGAAACGGAAATATATCGCGCAGATATACGTGCGATGCCAGCGACGATTGTAATTGCGACGTGAAGGGACAATGGTAGGTATAACGAATAGATACACGGCACGGTATCGTGTAATTCGATCATTATGTGGGAGGCTTCAGAAATTGTAACATTTATGATAAAGCTTACAATGCACGTATACGTATATGGAAACAGAAGTGCATTCTGCACGGAAAATACAATGTCAGTGAAGACAATTCGAAAGACATTGGACATTATAGCGGATAAAATGGCTTTTCACGTACGTGTCCTCGTGTGAGCAAAAGCGGATCTTTCAGTTTCTCTCGTCACCTTGTTAAATTTCTGTGGCACTTCTGTGGCCGACGATGCAAGGGAAAAGATGCAACGAGAGAGCGTTGTGACGGGGCACGCGGATGACGGGAGACTCGAGAGGAGCCGGCGTTACTAAATGCATCTTGCAATTAACGAATTTAATTAATTCCCGCTTTTGTGCAAAACGACAAGAAATAATGGTTGGAATGTAATCTTGGATGGCTCGCTCCGCCTTTGTCGCTGTGCGAAACCACTTCGTATAACGACATGAAGTAGTTTTCTCGCTCGCTGTCTTTCCACCTTTTCTTTTCTCTTGCTCTATCTTCTTACTATGTTCTTACGCCATTTCTGTCGTATCTCGTTTTCGCCAACACAAGAGGATCGAAGATCGCCATGTCTTACGATCAATCGGCATGGTAAAAATATGAGAAGATAGAAAATCCTTTGACAGAAAGTCTTGACGACTTTTCAAAAGCTAATAATTCTTAATGACTGCAATCATTCAATCAGATCAACTTACATCGCGCCAGTACTTATATATTATATTTTTATTGGATTATAAAATTACCTCCAAGAAAAACCACTGTTTCGTATAAATATTCATATTTGTGCAGTCTTTAAAACTTAAAAAATTAATGACAATTATTTTAAAATTTTATATTTTTAAAATTGGTAGTGCGAAATTTATGTTTTTTTATTAATTTCTTTATAGATTTGCTTCTACCAGACATTTTTTTCATTTATAACTGTTAGCATTAATAGGTTCGTTTTACAATTCTTCACTTATTGCGAAAGGTTTCATAGCTTCAGCCGTTCCTGCATTATAACCAGAGCTTTTTAAGCGAGCTTCAAGCACGGTGAAAGGAATAAGGGGATGGAATATGGTGATGAAGAACGAGAAGCGAGAAATTGGAGTCGAGAGTCTTGTTACAAATAATTCCGCGGCGAGGCAACGCGGAAATTTTCGAGGGGATACTTCTTACTCCTCCATTTTATCGCGGCAATAATTCCGGATGCCACGATTCGCGAATGCAAGAGAGAAATAATGTCATCCTTTTTAGGATGCGATTTTATAGCTGTATTTAATTTCGTGGCCCTCTTATACAACGAAATAATGGTAAAAGCTCTGAAACGCGTTGAAAAATATTTTGCAAAGTTTTCAAGAGATATGAAAAAACTCGAATGGGTCGGATTGTTTACGGTGACTACTCAAGAATATAATATCGATGGTGATTTTATATAAAAGGAATTGATCTCCGTTATTAACTTCTTGGTTGATAGTCGTCACTGCTTTTCACAAACTTTGTGCTACGATAAGTTTAAAGTTCCTTTGATTATGCGCACGGCGGGAAATAGATGATAACGATAAGAGCGAGACATTTTCCTTAAATTAAAGCGACACTCTCCGCAATTTCTTTCACGATGAACTAATGAATATTCATTCTTCGCTCGAATTAATAAGATAGATCCGTGAATACGCGCAGATGTCATACTCATAGAGTAATATCGTGAATTGTAATTACAATATACGTCATTCCGTCATGATGCGGCATAACAAAGATAAAATATCCTGTAAAAATTAATTTGCATGCGCTACGATTTAACTTTCGTATTTTAATTGATAAAGTTATTCGGTTGTAAACAGACATGATCTCCGAAGACTCTTCTGAATCATTTCATTCTTTCAGCAGAATAATTTGCGTTAAAAATAGGCGATGGTGAAAGCGAGGACGCGTCGCGACGGCCTCGTCCTTTGAAGGGACAGCGCACGAGTCTGCTGTTTTTCACAAGTTTAATTCGTTACAAAGGGGACAAGTGTGCACGACTTAGCTGTACACGTACACGCGCGCGAGATTCACCCTTTCGCTCATCGTCTTTTGCCTCACGCTCTCCTCTCCAGGGAGGAGGGGGGGGGGGAGGGGGCGATCACCCCCGACAGAGGGGAATGATGTCGGCGAGAAGGCTCGAATATCGTCCGAGCCCGACGCCGTCGACCCGTGCACACACCCGCCGGCCGCACACATTCTTTATATATAATTTCGCGTTAATCTACGCGGCGGTGCGGCGCAAAAGCGAGTCGCGCCGCAAAGTGAGGCAAAAAGGTTCCACTTGGCTGAGCGTGAAACGGGACACAGATTAAATCCCATCCTGTGCAACCCCGGCGCACGACGTCGCCGCGGCACCCTCGTCCTCCCCGACCTCTCCGCGTCGGTTCGCTCGGTCGAACCACCCCTGCCATCCTCGCCAAACATCCCTCTCCTCCCAATCTTCGCGCCGGGCGAGAGGGGGATCTTTAAGCGCGAAAACGATCGCCGATATTTAAGATGCGCGAATAAACGCGGCGAATCGATGTAGCGTCTCACGCGAGTTGACTTTGTAATTGGGTTCTCAATGGAATTTTCGCGAGGTCTATTAGTTAAAAGCGAACGGAAGATTAATTGAAAGATTTATTTGCCGAAGACGTTGGATCTCTAAGCGTTTGTAAGAAATCGCAGAATATTCATCGTCAGTATTACGGTATCCTCTGAAATTTTTGAAATACTTGATCAATTTTATGAGCTTTACTGTGTACGTGTCCTAGACGAACAAACATTAAACCCGTTGGAAAGGAACGATTGATCGTTACCCGATAATAGAAACAAAACAGCTCAACGGAGCGGCTAATGCGCCACTCCAATTTCCAACGATGACGGAAAGTTTGCAGCGGAATAGTTGTTTAATGGGATGTAATAATAGTTTGCGGATAATTAGTCCTGCGTTGCGACTCGAAACCGGCCGAACGTAATCAGTTACAGAGTGTGCCGGTCCGAATTCATTTAACGAACTGCTGTTTATCCGTCGACATCCATAAAAAATATCGTTTTCGCGGCCAAATTGCTTTCACCTCTCGTCGTTGCGTCGCGCTAAATAATATAATTATGCGCGTCGACCGCATTAATTAGACATATAAATCGCCCAACTCTCTGAGCTTGATATAATAGAACCGATTACAAAATAGATATTGCAGAGTTGCGATATATAATACAAAACGTATTATTAGACTGGCAGTGAAAAAGATATTTAGAATTAATCGATTTGACGATATTGTAAGTATATACAATCGAGAATTAACAAACATTCACCATATCTCAATTATCCAATCATTTTTACATTAAAAATGAAGATAAACGTGATGGCAGATAATAAATAATTTAACAAATGATTGAACAATAAAAGAAGAACTGTCAAAATTTTTATTAAAACTGTCGCGTTAATATTCTCGCGTCACTCATTGAAACAAGACATTTACAAGACCCTAGTCCCGCTTATTTCCGGCGACAGAATCCGGAGTCTGCTGAGGACATTACGTCGGGTGGTTGGGGTACTTCTGAAGTCGACGCGTTTGTCGAGTGTCACCGGCTAAACGTTATCACGTCGGTAGAGATTCCGAAGGATGTGCAAACCGGGGGTGTGCACAGTCGGGGCACAGCCTCCGAGCGTTTCGTTAAATTCGCCGGGTACCCACCGGGAGAGAGAACTTCATCTCGTGCGCGTCTTTCAACGACATCAAAGATGGCGTGCCAGGCATACGCTCTCTAATGAGTTGAATCGCGGTAAGAGCACCCGCGCCCGCTTCCCGACGAGCGACGATGAATTCATTACGGACGGTGTTAAGAGGCGGCGGCGCAGTATTAGCAGCCGCCATCCCCGACAGCGCATACTCATTACGGCGCCCGTTATTATTGACACCAGTGTGTAAGGCAGCTCGCAAATGTGTGTCTTCTCCGCAGCTTTTCGCAGGTAAATACCGAACTCATGGCCGCGGGGTTAGTAATCGTACATTCGCGTTCGTTACTATTCACGAATAACAAGATGCTTCACGCTGGGAATACGCGAGATAACGCGATAATCTCGACGCGCCGCGGCGCTACGATTAAATAAGTTTTGCGCGAGTAAATGAGATAACGGACCGTGAAATCACGATTCGATAAACGCTCATTGTACACAGGGAGTTATTGTCGTAACGAGCGAGAGAAGACGATAGTAGTCCTTAATATTATTCAACTAATTGGTATCTGTCATTCGTTTAAAAATTCGTTTACAATTTTTTCTGTCGCATCTGTCGATTATTGTATTTTTAAACTCTTAGCACTTGTAACCAAGTTCGGTATTTTCCCATCTTCGGTATTTTTCAATTTGACAGGTGTGAATGAAAAATGTCACGAGTGTTTTGCAGAAGGCTTAATTAATGGCTATTTTAATGGCGAGAGAGCCAAAGCTCGCATGCAGTTACTTTTAAACTGATAGAATAATTGATAGAATAGTACGTATCTTCTGCCACAATATGCCGATAGCCACACATACCAGAAGATCGCATGGACGTATTCGAAGCTTCCCTACATACACCTACGGGCAAAAGTTATCGGTGAACCTCGCGGACGTATTGCGGAGCCGTAGCCTCTATTGATTGGTCGCGGGGATAATCCCGCGCCGCCGACATTTATTACCCCTTGGAGCAACGGAGGCAGGTAATCTCCGCAGCCTCCGATCTCCGGCACGCGCGAGATTCGATCCAGAACCCGTAACCAACGCGCGGGGGCCCGGCGCCCATAACCATTAACAAATCTCGCGCAGCGACGAGAACGAAATAAAGCGTTCTCGTGAATCAGGCGTTTGATTCCAATGGCTACCGGGGTTTTTATGGAGAAGTAAAAGGAAGCTACTTTCTCTCTCTCTCCCCCTCCTCTCTTTCTCTTTCTTTCCCTGATATATATAGTACACAGGAGAAAAATAGAGAACGCGAGAGAGGAGGTAGACTGGTGGTTGGACGAATGAAAGAGGGGCGCGCTCGTGCCACGCGAGCATTGTCCGCCTCTGAAGCTATACCCCGAATGCGAGGAGAGAGTATTATAGGAAGAGAAAGAGGGGGGGAAGCACTTACCCTCCTACAAGCTCCATTATGATCTCGCGTGGGCTATAGGCGCGTAACGCGATCCCGCGTCTCTCCGCTCTCGAGCGAGGTGTGGGTAACTCCTCGACCGGAGAAAGATTACGTTGCGTCGAGACAAATTGGCGGTGTAAGCGGCGCCCGCTTATTGTCGGGAGTACGAAAGAAGGGAGGGCCAAGCCAGCCTAACCGATTGTTGCCGGGTGTGATGCGCGTTGGGGTCGCGAGGACGAATCTCTCGAGGTGCAAGAGGGCCTCCACCCTTCGCTCGCGAAGGGGCCGCTGGCCCGACAGAAGCCGGCCAAAGGCGTGTCAAGTTACCAACTAACCCCCGGGGGTAACCGCGAGCTAACCTAAGCTCATAAGCGTACGCGTATTTATTCATCCCTTTTCTCGTATAACTTACTCGCGAGTTTGGAAGGGCTGCGAGTTTATCGAAACCATCTACCTTAAGAAAACTTTGATCCGCGTATGTTACGACTTACTTGACGCCATTAAATTAGAGATAATACAAAGGGTAATACGATGGTATACGGAGCAATTCACTTCACTACTTGTCTACTAGAATATCGTGAATAATTTGATGTAGTTTAATAAAAATAATAGTAATAATATGCGTTGCACATTGTGAAAACAAAGAATGTATGCTAATTGATATGTTGTTGCCCCAAAATGTTACTTTAATAATAATTATAATTAAATAATATAAAATATTTTTTGTCTTAATATTTAAGTTTATGAGCTATGAAAACCATAAAGAACATCAAATTCAATATTAGTTTCAATATTATATTAAAATATCTTTAATATGTTCTAAATGAGATGTAATTTTCAAAACTATTAGTGAAATTTTTTCAGAAAAATCTTTTGTATTAACTTCTTTTGAAGTTAATAAGAGTGATTGCGAAAAATTCTCAACTAAACTTAATTAAAATTGCAAGATATATATGCTTGTGATATATATGCTTGTTAATGAATCTTTACGGATTGATTATTGCAATCACTTTTTACTCTAATCATTTGTTAAGTGACAATCATATTACTTTGCAAGAAGCCACTTTAATTGAAGGATTCATGAAAACAGTTCCGAAATTTGTAAAAAAATCAAATTTTTCTATCATATTTAATATTATTCAGTTTAACGCAAATAGATGGATCAAATTTAAAAATTTGCTTATATATTTTATTTTTCCTCGCTTCAGATTGATTATTTCTCTAATTAGAAACAAAATTATTATTTCTACATTATCCCTACAATTTCTAGTTTCTCATGCGTAAACAAAGTGTTTAGTAATTGATGATATTTTCTTACAGAACAAATCAATCATGATTCTGTAAATAACTTCATTCACTGATGAGAATTCTGACAAAGCTTAATTACTGATTAAATTTAGCAAATTAGTTATTTGTTTATCGACTATCTACCGCATCAACAACATATTCCGGTCAATTGCCAAACATCATTTTATGCAACCCGAAATATATAAATAAATTTATATGACCAACCTTTATGCGGCATCTTCCAAAAGGGCGGCTCGGGGGTGGGCGAGCAAGGGTTAGCCACCCCCGCGCCCAACAGGGTTCTTGCCGCGTGCAGCGCCGCCGCCGCCGCCTCCCTGCTCCGCGCTGCCGCAGCGCTCGGCGGATATTCCGGAGCGCTGTCACTTTCGGCGATGCCGCCGCCACCGCTACCTCCGCAAGGACGAAGGTGCAGGCTCAGCCGACCGCCGCCGACCGTGCCACTGCCGCCTCCGCCGCCGCTGCCGCCGCCGCCGCCGTCTCCACCGCCGCCACCTCCGGCCACGCTAACACAATGCTAAAATCATTTAGAATCGCTCGGTCAGGTTTCCTCCGTGTGATCTGTTTTTAATTAAATGCTTTCGCATTTAATCCGCTCAAAAAGAAAGAAAAAAAAAACATCCTAAAAAGATTACATAGAAACTGATTATTGATATTTACATGGGAACGTGAAAGCGTTGATTAAGTAATACCACCAGTAGACATTTCGGGGTAAATGTAATTATGTTAATTAATATAGAAGCAAAATATGAATAAATCTGTGCTGAGTGAGACTTATTTTAATAAATTTTAATACCTATTTAATATACATTATATTTTTTATGGAACTTTCCTTACGAAGTTTTTAAACTTAAACTCTCCATCTCGAAAAATAAACTCTATTTTATCTTTTAAATTCTATTAAAATAATATCTTTATAATTGTGCGCGGCACGGTAATATAAGATTTTTCAAAACCAAATTTTAAAAAGCACAAAGATAGTAATAACTGCTTTATTTAGAACAAAAAAAAATGAAAAAGAATTCACGAACGTTTTTACAGAAAAAAGACATATTGATCGTAAACATGTTAAAATTTATATAACATGCTATAACGCGGATACCGTATTATCGGAGCTGGATAATATCGCCGATAATGCCGTAACTCTCACGGGGAATATCGCTGCGCGATGATTATTTAGTGCGGAGCACGATCAAAAACCAATTTCGGGCGTAACGACGTAACGAATCGAGAGCATGGATTATTAACAGACGCGAGCGCGTTTCGATTTACAATTTCGCATCGTTCTTAATCGTATTCCGAAATTGTTACTTCGCGATACGCGAAAAAAGGCGTTATGCGAAAAAATACAGCCAACGGCGACGGATCGCGTAGCCGACGGCGAACAGCGAGCGGTGTTAACGATTAACGAACGCTGGCGCGCAACGGCCGAAATAATTTTACATACGTTCACAATAATTTTATAAATTCACGGCAATTTACGAAAATTCAATTGATCCCTATATCTTTCCGCGGTGCGGTATGGTGTGGTGCGGTGCGGTGCGGTGCGGTGCGGTGCGGTGCAGTGCGGTGCGGTGCGACGTGATGCATCGCGATGCGACGCGACACGATGCGTTGCACACGCCCTTCCGCGCGCGTAAATAACGCGGCTTCAAAGAACATAATTCGGGGGATTATCGCCCGCGAAGCGCGGTAAATATTGATGCCGTCGAAACTGGTTCGCCAAAAGCAAATTTCAAAGTGCGCCAAAAAATAAATAATGGCCAGGCAAATAATAAACATTGCCGTGTCGGCGGTAAATTTCCGAATTTTTCCAAGGCTGATTACGCCCCGCATAAATTTGTTCGTATTATTTTGCGTACTGCGACAACAAATCGAAAATTATATATACAACACGAAGGAATGCCGCAAGGCAAGTCTACGCATTATCGCAGAATCGATACAATTAAGATTATTACAATTTGAAAATTTTTGGTAGAACTTCAACATGGTTTTTTTTCGCAGATAATTAGTTAATAATTAAGTTCTCGCGTGCAATGTAATTAGTCAGAAGTGACTTAATAAACCTGAATAAATTTTAGATATTGATACGTTGCACAATATTTCATATTCTGTAACAATAAATCACTGTATTCGCGAGTGGTAAACGTGCGATATGCCCCGAAAGTAAATATGTATACATTGACTTTGAAATAACGCATACTTATCAGCGATTATTCTATTTTTAGCCCCCGGAAGATTATGTATGTACATAAAAAATGAGTCCCATTCCTAACGATATTTACGTTACGTATGATTTTTATGCGTAACACCCTCTTCTATTTATCAAAGTTTTCCGATAATCAAACGACATTCTTCATACAAACAAAAATAATTGGCGTGTGCATGCAAATGATTCAACGGTAAAATTATTTTCCGAACGAATTCAAAATTAACATACGACGAGAGATCACGACGATCCGATCGTCATCGAACACCTGCTGTAACGCCTTCGATCCTGACGATCGAGAAATCCGACGTGTGCGCGCGAAGCGGCCGCGAGCGCAGCGCATCTATGCGCATTCCGGCGTGCCCCTCATCTCATCACGGTTAATCATCACACGCCGGCATGCATCGGGACGAGCGTTAATTGTCATTCGGCGAGACTCGTAGATCATTAGCTCCTTTCAAGCCCGGTCGCGGTAACGTCACGATGGCCGACGGCAAAGCGGGGGACATCAATACCTGCGCGCCCGGCCGGATCGAAAAGTGCAAGCTGTAAAGCGGCGAGCCAAGGGTCGTTAAACGTGGTCGACCGCGAGATCATTCCGCGTCTCGTCGCGAGACTCACTCCCAAGATCCAGCTTCTCGAGCGATAGCGAGAAGGAGAGAAGGAGAGAGGAGGACTCGTGCTCTCCCGCTATACGAGATTCCGATTGGATCTACGCTGTCAAAACGCGATTTCGCGTGATTGGCAGAAGGATAAATAATTTAATCGTTGATACTTTATATCCTTAAAGATAACCTGATGTTACAATAAACGTTTCCCCACCGCCGGTGGCGGTCACTACGTTACTTAGCGATGGAATAAAAACGGATAAAATTTGCATAAGTATATCGCGAACAGATACGCGCTACAAAACTACTACTTATTTTATCCGATAATAATTTATCTCTAAGTGGATTTCGCGCGAGCTTGGCACAAGCGTCGCTCAATAGGTTGTATGTAATCGTTACGCCATGTGAAAATTGTTCTTGTCCTGTTTTTACATCGACACAATTTCCTGTTAAGAGCGAAGACACGGCAAACAGAATCTCGCGACTCATTAATTAATAAAAAGCGCAAGGAGATATAGAGAGATGTAGGTAGACTACTTCACACGAGCACTTGAGGATTTTCAGGTAGCAGGGTGTGGAATGAAATACCAACGAAATTACTGCCTCAGAGCTATCCGGACAACCGAGGTGTGGTGCAGAACGCGACGGGGATCTGAGGAACGAGCTGCGTTTAGTCTCGTTGAAACGACGCGACTCCGCGCGCTACCTTCTCGGCACACAAAAGCGGAATATCTCACAGACGACCTGCATCTCGTCGAGCACGAAAGGCGGAAGTTTAAGCACGATGCATTAATTTACGCCAATTAGGACGCCGGCAGTAAACTGCGAGCGCGTATTCGGTACGTCGGGCTAATTCGCGAATCGGATACGCGAATTAATCGTTTTTAATTCTCTGACGCACTCTGCACATGCATCAATGAGTAACACCGCCGAATCGCATTTCTGCGCGCATATTAAACGCATATTATTTGTTTTGTGTTTCTTTTTTCCACAGAAATTTGAGTCTTCAATTATTTTATAGCCTCAGATTAAAACTGCGATATCGTTTATTGAAACTAATATATATTAAACAATAACCTTTTTTTAATTTTAACTAATTACAAAGTGTTAATTACAAAGTGCGGAAAATACAAAATGTAGACATCGCTCAGAAATCAGAATAATGGCAAAAAAAAATTCGGAATTAATAAATAATTGAGATTAAGATTTTTCAATGCTCTGTTCTTTTTCCCTCCACCGCCGACGCTTCAGGCACGACAAAGGACTTTTCACGAAATCTCCAAGGTACGCTTTCTTTGTTAAGCACTCGAGGAGACATCTGTTATTTTCCGAGATTGTATCACTTTCAATGAGTGAAATGTGTTGGTTTTTCCTTCGTCTAAAAATAATGGAAACGACGCGTATATCTCTAGAACAAACATGCAAGCTGAAACATTACAGAAAAGTTCAAACATTGTGAAATATGTTTCCGTACAAAAGCGTTTTTGTAATGAAAAGTAATTTAGCGCATTCCTTCTATAATTTCCTCTTAAAAACTACAAATACTAACGAATGAGATAATAAAAGTATTGCAATATATACATATACTCTTTCTTTCTCGTTGAAATTAAAATATAATTATAAATGCATGAAACAGAAGAAATATTAAAATTACGATGTTGAAACTCATTTGATGATAGTAACGTCTATTTAACTGCAAATATTTTAGTGATATAATAAAGGTGTATAATCATAGGTAATATAATCACAATTGTAAAGAGAGAGGTCTCACGAGAGCCTCTTTCGTCTTTCACTCTGCCTGAAACGTAGTCATCGCGCAAGTTTCATCATCAAGTTATACAACTTGAAATTCAAATCAAATAGAACGAGATTGAAACATGAATAGGATGTCTGTTGCACATTAGAAAAGCGAAGATGCAATAAAAGGCATCGCGATATTGCTTCGCACACTTTCGTTAAACAAGCCCGATGCATTCCGCCTGTAATCGACAGCTTTTTTCACGATCGTAATGAGGTACTCGGGCGTTAACAACGCCATTGTGCCACGCGCAATTTGTAGCTAACCGTCGCCCCGTGCCGCGCATCCAAGTTATTACGTCTATTTCGGTTTATTACAGTTTTCTATGGATAGTAGAAGACAGTCTGACAGAGAGAATTTGCCCTTCTGTCAGTTTTAGATGAGATATTTCTGTTCTTATTAGAGAAGAGAGATAAGAAAGAATTCCATAATCTAATAAATTATAAAGAAATGGCACTGTTTAAATTGTGTGACAAATATATTGCACAAAAACTGATAATTCGTAACTAAAAAATATATCCTGTATTATATGTAGAAAATATAAAATAGTATAGTAAAATTCACATATATAATTTTGCAAGAACTTTTCGAGAGATTTAAGATCGTAAGTGTTACATATTATTAAAATTATTTTCAAAAGATATATAGAGTAACTCATAAATTTTATAATAATGCAATTCGTTAATTTATAAATGTATAATGTTCTTAAATACGCCATTTATACATATTTTTATTTATTTTTATCACTAAAAAATTAAGTAGCGTATATTAATTCAAATTAATGATTGAAATTTATCCTTAATTTTTTGATGATATATTAATTAACTGTTAAATATTAAACAAGTAGTAATGTAGAAAATTCGACTATTTACAGCTCATCGCTGCATTTCTCTAAAAATGAGGAAAAATACTCTTTATTTATTAGAAAGAGGAATAATTCTAATAAAAAGTATTGAAAATTAGTCTTATTAATAATCACGATGATATATTAAGAAAATATCACTCTTATTAATTTTTCGTCTTTTTTGGAGTGAGCACGGAGTGAGGACGGAGATTAATCAACTAGAGATAGAGTTGATAAGTTAAAAAGTTTTAAAAAATATTAGAGATTCTAAACTCTATAGTTCTAAACAAAATAGTTACTAGTAGTAATTGTTTTACATAATCTGAAAGCTTTATTCTTGATATTTTATGTGTGTATTCGGAAAAGATTCGTTTGTTAGCAAAATTCACAGCCAATGAAGTGTTTAGACGTTTCATGGGTGCGATTCCTCTTTTCATTGTAAAAACCGAATACAAACGTACCGTGTCGAGAATGGCCGTGGTCAGGCCGGATCCAGCCACCAGCTGAAAGCACAATCCGCGACGGCGTTGCTCCGTTCACAGCACTTTCTTGGCGCGGCTTCCGTTGACCGGAGCTTCCGCGCTCCTCAGTTTCGCCGATGTGAAATCTTCAGAAATCAATTGCAGACAAGTGGATACGCCGCGATTCAATTGATCTCACTGACACACTGCAATCGCACAGATTGTGATTCAACGAGAGTACATCGAATCTCGCCACGTCGGGGAATCCACACTGCTTGACAATCAACGCGGGTTGCTGCTGTCAAACTTTCGGGGTTTAGTGTGACACCGTTGATGTCAACGGATCCGAGACCGGGACACCTTCCCAAGATCGTGTCAGAGTACTCGCGAAATTATTTGTCAAAGCGACAAGAGCGTACGCGAATGACGTATGAGCGATATGCCGTACACCGCGTAACAAAAGAGGCGAGAATATCCAGGAGCAGTCTTCACGGCGATGTCTCCCAGCACGGGCGTAGATGCGCGGCTTCTCGCGGTTTATCAGCGTTTATCGCGCCTGGCTGGCTGCAGAGGAGTTGCTGCGAACAGCCGGAATGCAGTTGAACGCGCGGCGTCGGTGGAGAGGAAAGAAGCACGTGCCCGACTCCCAAAACAGGGGTGCAGTGACGCGTCGCTGCTGCGGTGCGCGGCGCCCGATTGACCACCAGAGTCTGCCTTCCCGCATGCGGAGATCCCTGCCGCACGATTTTGGCATCCCCACCCCTAAACGCGTCCCCTACATCATATACACCATCTCCCTTCGGTTGGCGTTGTCCCTGCTCTCTCTCCTCTGCCGCGCCTCTCTCCGTCTCCGTTCCTCATTCTTTTCTCTTCCCGTTCTCGCTCTTCCTCTCTCCCTCGTCTTGTGCGAGCGGAGCCGACCAAGCAGTCGCCTTGCCTCCGGGCAACGTTGCCCCTGACGAGGCTTCTCGACCAGGACCAGTGCGGCATAGTATGTATCTGGGTGGAGCCATGTCGGGGCGATGGCGTGGCGGCCCGTCGCGCTCGCCAACCGTCGACGGTGGGGATAAACCGCAATCGTGCCGCACGGCACGGCATCGCGCAACTCCGCGCAGCGCCCTGAAGAGGCCTTCGCGGCCTCACCACGATCGCTGCTGCTGGACGTTCAAACGGGGGCGGCGCTTGCCGTGGGCGGTGTTCCGTGTCTCGTTGGATCGGAGAACCCCGACGACGCCATTGTTTTCGGCGCACGGCGCGGAAAGTACGGCGCGTGCGAGATCCACGCCGACGCCCGGCGTCGCGACGCCACTCTCGCACGCAACGCCGTCGCCGACGCCGTCGTCGCGTTTGCCCATCGCCGTTCCACGACTCGTCTCTTGCCTTGTCTTTCACCGCCGAGCTGTCCCGCGGGGATTTTTCACACCGACGGGGTAAGTCTGTCGTTGTACGTCCGCGTGAGTGTGTGAAAAAAAATGCGAAATTGCAATGCTGTTTGAATTTCGCATAAGTTACTCTATGCGCGTTCGATTCGATTGTCTTTCTTTGCCCACCTTCTTCTTTCGGTCAGGATAACCGTCTACAACGCGGCAACTACGGGACTAGAACAATTTTTCAAAATTTTTTAATTTATATTTCTAATACGGGAATTAGAACTAATGTTATATCTTAGAATATTCTTGTAACATAAACTTGAAATCATCAGGTAGCTCAGAACATAATTATTGTATTATACATTTATATTAAACATTCTTTACTATAAAATTGATAAAAATTAATTGAATTTCTGCCGGATTTCATCTGATTTTTTTAAATTTTATTATGAGTTATCAAATCAATGATTAATTGTTATTGTGCTTTAATTTTAAAGATTTGTACCTGAAATTTTCCATTAGATTGATTACCTTCTGATTGGTATCGATCGATTCATTTCTTCGCTATTGTAAAATGGTAGGATGAATTTTAATTTATCGAATTTTTACGTAATTTTCTTTATGAGCTTTCATCCGTAGTTTGAACGCAAGGTGAACAAGAACGATTGACACGGATGGACGTCAAGCTTGACATCCCGACGTCGCTTTCACGCGTAGCGTCCATCACAACCGTCGTAATCCACCTTTCGATTTATCTACCTTCGGCAACCCATCAATTTTATTTTTTTTTCTTCCGAGTCTGTCTGCATGCGCAATCGCGTATATGCGCGAGCATTGTGTCGGTACATTTTATCCAACCTTTTCTCGCACCCCTTTTCTCAAATCCCCTGCCTTCATTTTATCTTTCTACGTTTTCTCGGACCACGCACATAAGCGTGGGTTGACATAAGAGGGACACCACGGAATTCCGCTAAAAGAACTCACTCTAATGAGAGATAATGGCGGCCGCGAGTAAAAACCAGCGTTTGCTCTTTCTTTGAGAATTAGTGAGTGCTTTAAAGCGATTACTTTGCATACAAAGCAACTCGCACGAAACGGCATACTAACGCGGAATTAGAGCAAATGCATTTTTGTAATATTTCGTATTTAACAAATGATGTCAATTGTGATGATGATTAGGTGATGATTAGATGTTAAAAGATGGTATATCTTTTCTGTTTTATTTTATTGTGTTTATTATATAACTTATAGCACTATACAATTATAATTTGCAATTAAAACATTGTAAAAAAGAAATAAAGTTGCAAAAATAAAAAACTACATATAAAAAAATATGCTTTGCTTCGATTATATCTGTCTATAAATATATAGCACACACAATTACATTATTAAAATGAAATAATCTTCAGCAGCAATTTTGGAGTGGGTTAGCATATTTTTTTAACAAGGAAAATAGGGGATTAAAAGAGAGTCATCTTTATGAAATCTGTGATTCGTTGTTGAGGGAATTGACACAAATGCTAGGTAATCGAGAGGCCAACCCTTTCGCTTAAAATAAATACAGTAAGAGAGTCGGGATTCCTTTGCCCGGCCGAATGGAACAGGTGGGTCCAATTAGGCGCCAATTACCTGCGTGTCTAGCTCTTCCTTGCTGGTGCAGCAATCGGCGCGATTAACGATGCGCTCGGGGGAAATAACGCAGCAAAAAGAGTGCAACATGGATACAATGCGAGCTGTCGAGAAAGTTGCGCGAATGCATCCAGCAGACGCGTAAATTATTTCGATCATTCGTGGCATATAAAGCCCGTCGCTCACGAAAAACTCGTCGGCTACCAATTATTTTTATATTCGAAAAGCGCACGTATGCCTGCCAATTGTTCGTACCAATCATAACTTCGCGTTGACGGCATTATATGATGAGAAATTGATTTTACAATACGATTTATTCCACGCTATTCCCTACCATTAGTAATGCGCAAATGCGGAAATAAAAATCTGTATCGACTTGACATAATCCTTGATAGAAAAATAAGAGGTTGCAAAGAGATCCGTTTTTTTTTCTTTTAATTGTTTCTTAATTTAAGAAAGCCTTTTATATATCTCTGTAAATAAATTTCTTTTTTTTTTTGCACAGTAATATAAGAAAAAAATTAAAATGTCAACGTTATGAAACAAGTTACATTTTAATGTATATTAATATTGTAGGGAATCGTCAAGTAAGACATTTTTAAGATTAAAACGAATATTCTCATGATTTTATTGCAAACATATAGTATATACAGAAATCAAGTCAAAGAATATCTAAATATCTACTGAGTATGACCTTGTTATCTTGATTCTAAATAATCGGATTAAAATGCAATTAATCGAATGAATACTATGAAACTATTCAGAATGAATTTTTATTGGAATTATTCTATGTTTCCTAGAAAAGACAATAAAAATAACTCTAGGAAATAACTGAAGGTGTAAGTGTACGTGTCAATCGAAGTTGGAAATCAATGAACATGCAAACATGTCGATACAGAATGATGGATGAAAGTTGATGAAACTTACGATTGATCTCTTCGGAACATATAAGAAAGAAAAGAGTATATAGTTACTACAAAATAATAACAGAATTCATTTGATAAAAAATTACATTAAATGAAAAAGCAAATATGAAATAATCAAACGATTTGTCATATCAACATGGAAGAAATAATAATACTTATAAAGAAAAGAGCATGTTCAAATTTTCTAGATAAAGTTTTCTTCTTATTTGTCAACAGTCAATTTTATTCCTCATGCACTTGTTTTTATTTTAAAAGTGGCGCAAGTCAAACTCTGAAAATCTCAGTTATATCTTAGCTTTGCTACCGCTGAATTAACTTATCCACTTATACCAATATTTTGCTTAAATTCGTTATACTTCAAAACTTGATTCGCATCGTCTACAAAATAAATACGTCGATACGTTTCGCGCAGAAAGCGGGATTTTTCGAGAAATTTTCAACGTAATACATTTCTTCCGATTCCACTCGCGGAGTTTCAGAAACGATACCACTTGCTATGAATGCGAAGACTGGCTGAGAGCTGTCAGGATAATAACGTCTTTATGCGCTGCAGTCACGCTAATATTGCCTGCAGCTAGGCAGAGCTTGGCTGATAGCCGTGAAACACGCGGCAGCAAGTCGCTGTCAAAGTTCGGTAGCGTATCTTTCGACACGGTCCTCGTGTACCTTTCGGCTTTAGCCGCCGCGTACAATTGGATTTATCAAGTCGGCATCGAAACGCGACGAATCCCCATATGTACATGCCGCGTTTATCCGTGACGTACAACGTTGACATTTCGGATAATCGCTGGCACAGAATTAAATTAATTAGCAACCTAGGTTTCCTCCTCTTTGGCATATATCGCGTACTCTCACCTCTTTTTCATCAACTTTTTCCCGATATCGTTCGCAGACTTGTATACTTCGCTTACTTCTAACTATTATTGTACGGAATATTTTTCGCAGAATAACTAACGCTTAGCGGTATTTTTAATCGAACCGATTTCATGCACAACGGTGTTATTCGAACGTTTAACACGAACAGAATACTATCGAGGCCGCATTGTTAGCAGCATTTTCATCCGAAGCATTTGCAATTCCTCTTTATTGCCTTTCGGCTTATCCGGATTGTGCCTCGCGCATTTACGAGTTGTATTTCATCCTGATAATCGCCATTAAGTTAACGAACTGCAATACGGGCATTTGAACGCATGGAACACGCGGATTAACGTACATTAATAAAATTATCCGTGTGAACAATGGATTATGCGCTTGCGGGCTTTAAATGTCTCGTTCCACGACAAAAAGAGCCCGGCGCAATGTGATTATCAGAACAAAAAAAAATAACGCTGGACAAAGATACGCCGCGGAGAATAATAATTACAATTTGCGAGTAATTGATTTAGCCACGTACGTATAATAACAACGGCGGTAGCAATCGAGCGATTTACTATAAATGCGATATCGGCTTCTGCTGTATTCGTAGTTTCAAAAAAAATATATATTGAAAATATATAATTTATACATGTAAATTATACATATATAACAACATTCCCTTAAAAATGACAACGAATAACAGAGCATTGGATATTCAGCAATATCCATTGGGGCTATTTATATACAAGGAATATAAAGCAATCGCTGCTTTCGAAAGGACCAACTTTTGCTGAAACATAGTTACCCTCGCGAAACTTGTGCCATCGAACGTATCGGATTACTCTCCACATTTGCCCTTCTGCGAGCTACATTCGCGGAAGTCGAGGGCCCGGATCTTCGTAAATGGCGTTAGGTGAATTTTATTATTCTCTGATTTCAGGCTTCGGCGCCCGGCGACGAAGGACGCGAACGCGGCAAGTGCATCTCTTTGCGGCGAACGGGACGCCCGACATCGCGGTGTAATCAGACACCGACATGAGGGGGATCGTGGGAGGGAGGTGCAGAGACGTAAATGTAATTGGAAACATCCGAGAGGGAGATTCGCCACGCTTCTGATCCACGCCGCGCGGTTCGCCTGTTTCTCCCTTCGGGCCATTCGCCGCAGCGCAAGCGCCATATCTCCACTTTTTCTCGCGTTTATCTCTTAACTTTCGCGTTGACTGGACAACGATAATTTACGAGTATATATCGCTTCCCCGGGAAAAATATTATCCTCCAAAACTGCCGACGCTATTGACTATTCAAAAGATCCTCCATGATGAAAATTCTAGGTACATCGGAAAATCATTTTCAATATTATCGCCGGTTAAAAACTGGTATTGCAATTTGCAGTGCTAAAAGTGGGACGTGAATACGCACTATAATTATGCAATTTTCCGGTTATTAATAATACATGTCCTTTTTGTGCGACTTCAAAGATATTTTATATTTACGCGAGAGTACCACCTCACGAACGTGATCGCGGGAGAAAGCGCTTTCTTTGTGACGGCGTTTACCATTACGTACGTGCGGCTTTGTAAATGGTAGGGCGTGCGCGTCATGCATGATTAAGCAGAGCCCAGCGATAATGCGCTGCGTGCGGCTCTCCGGCGTAAAGAAGGTGTAAATACCTCCCGATGATTCCTCATAGGATCGAAGCGGATCGCGCAAAGGGAGCCGACACGGAGGCGGCTCCTTTCTCGTCGATAGTTTCAATGGAGAGTTTTTCTCATAGAGCCACAGTCAGCCCCCTTTCTCTGTCTCTCTTTCGCTCCCTCTCCTTCTTTATTGCTCTCACTCTTTTCTCTCGTTCCCCTTCATGCCGATGTACGCGTGTATATGGAGAACGATAAAAAAGACGAGATCTCTCAAAAGGTACGCGGAGCACCGCCTCTGATGAATGCCGCAACCAGTTGGCCACCATGTTTTCCCTCCGCCGATGTGTACGCCCTACTCTCTGAAACATCCCCTGTGCCGCGTCCCTCCGTGTGCCGACTTTCCAACCCCTCGCAAAACCGCGATTGAACCCTTGTACATCCAGCACGTATACTGCGTACTGCGGCGTTCAGAGGTGATTTTACGTGCGCTTTGTGAACGACGGAATGAGTAACTTCTACAGTTATCGAGCAACGTTACAGAAATGTACACTGACAAATTGGATTGCCATCAATGATTCTAAAGCGAGGATGAAAGATCATCAGCGTGCATTGCGAAAAACTACCGTTGTAAACGTACGCTGTTATACAATTTGACTAAAAGTTGAAATTTTCCAATAAAGATAAAAAGTAAAAGAAGAATGGATACTAAGAATGGATACAAAACGAAAAAACAAAGATAAAAAAGTAATGCTTTAAATGTATGAAAGTTTGAATAATCAGTATCAATATGCTTTAAAGCAATTCTGCAAAATAATATTATCATACGTTTTGTTAACGAAAAAAACGCATTTCGATACTATTAGTTCGTAATAATAGATCATTGTAGTGGATCCGACGCGTGTACGTAGAAGAAAACAGGGATGAAGAAAGAGAAGAAGAAGAAGAAGAAGAAGAAGAAGAAGAAAAGAAAAAGCAGAGCAAGAAAGAGAAAGCCGGCCGATAAACAAACTGCCAAGGATCGCGGCACTTTAATCTTCCTTTGAAGGCATCGGCCGCTCTTTGCGGCATTGAATGAGAACAGGAGGGGGGACCCAAACCCACCCCATCTCTCCCTCTCTGCGCACTCGACCTCGCGACTCATTATGGCAACATGCGGTAAGTATGCTTGCTCTTAAGTCTCGGTGTACCCTTCGGGCTGCCCCAAACAGCGTCGTCTCAGTATTAGTTACACGTGTATACAGGGTGCCCATCGCAAAAAGCGGTGGTTGAGGGCCCGCAACACGATAGAGGTACCGCGTTACGGCACTGTCGAAAATCGTCAGGATCGGGGACAGAGTGGAGAAGAGCATCCCTTATTTCGCGGCGGCTCGTTGCACGGCTCGGCGCATCCGAATAGCCTCCACTCCCTTGATCCAGGGGTTCCAGGTGGTTCCTTACCCCCTCCCGCCTTCCGGACATACTCTCGAAAATTAGGCATCGTGGATACCGAGCCGATGGTACGCGTTTCACAGCTGCGGCGCGATGAAAACGGTCGGCAAGCTTCGCGTGTCTTCACCTTTGTCCTTCTCATCCTCGCTTCGGTCGTTCCTGTATTTTCCCGATTCTTATAGTTTAGCATTTAAAGCGTGGAAATGTATTTAAGATGTAAACTCAACACGATGTATTCAAGTTTTTGAATTTTTATAGAACATAATTTAAAGGAATTAGTGAATAGTAAATTATTTATTTTACGTAATTATTCACGGAAATTTGACGGAAAAATACATTACAGAAAGTAAACGTATTTCACAAAGAGTCGAGCAACTCATAAAAAAATCGTATACATTTAAAGCTGGATTATACTTTGGTGTATGTTTGACTTTAGAAAAACGAAACATAAACTAAAGAGTTATGTATTCTTGTAAACTTAACCGGTTTTGCAGCTGAAATACATTTGAAAACTCGTAACATTTTATGAAAACTTTCGTAAAAACTTCAAGTTTTGCAATTTGAAATAAACTTATGAAGTATATCCGAATAGCCGAATAAATTCTGCGGAAAAATATCTTATCCGCGAATACAAAGTTCCTATTAAACGAGAAAAACTTAAAATTGAACGGTCGTATTTAAGCGTAAACATAGAATGCGGGTGAGCTTCATTGTGTCTGTCGCTACTTCGAGTAACAATTTAGCGCTTAAGTTCTCAAAGAGTGCGACCAGGTAGAGGAAAAGAAGAGCTGCGGCAGCGTGGTACCCAGGACCCGAAGATAATCCCGATGGTGATGGCGACCGATGCCGACGTGATGGGACTTACCCCACCCCTCGTACGGAGTGCCAACCCCCTCCCGAGTAAGAGGCAACGATACTGGATCTGAAAGGCCGCTGCGAATAACGCGCTTACGCGCGATCATCCGACCGCGAGTCTCGATGCCCGTGACAGATCGTGCCGCGTCGTCCTTGTGAATATCGCAGGACTAAAGCCTGCGTTAAAGAGCGAAAAGGGCGGAGGGGGGCACTAAGTCTTTCGTGGATGATCGGGCGTGCGCACCGCCGGTGACAATACGGTGTAGATTACTTTTCAGAATGGGCGGCGTGACGTAAATGCGACCCGGCGGTTTTTTCTTTGCGAACAATACCCGTGTTTGCCGACACAATTTGTCTCGGATTTAGGTGCGTCGGCATATACGCGTGTGCTTAGATGCCTAGATATTCGAGCGATGCGAAGAACATCAAGGTACAAAAGTCTGCTGCGCTCATCATTGCTTACATTAACGAACATTAAATCTTTTCCTAATAGATTATTAAATAGAATTAAAAAAAAATGAGAATATTCGTTTTGATTAATTTTTTATTAATTTAACGAACTAAATAACATTTGTATTAATAGTATAGAATGAAATATTGTTAAATTATATTATTTCTTAATTAATCCAATAATTCAATTTTTTAAATTTCATCGTTTTTAGATCCCGTTATTCTTCTAGTAGTTTAGTTTTTTAGAAATGTAGTCGTAATTGAGCCGGTTTGGTAGCTAAGAGAACTCGTCATACTGTGAGTAATATTACCTCACGCGGCATAATATTAACGCGGACGTCTCAAGAACTTGAAAAAGGGTCGAGCTGCGCGTCGCGATCGAGATTGATTTGATCTACCGCCGACAGGGTGGCAGCGAAACGATACGCCTTGGATATTGGGGCCTGATGAAGGCTTCTCGAATGTCGTGGACTCGGACAGCGAGCAAGAGAGAAGGAAAAAGAGACAGAAAAGAAACAAAGAAGAAAAGAGAGAGAAGGATAGAGATTGAGGAGACTGGGAAAGCGAGAGGGACGCATTCCTAGACGGCTTACGAGGATAGACATCACATCGGCCATCGGTGGTTTCTCATGTACCAAAAGGTGGCGGATTTGTTTCTTCCTCTTATCCGATCTTAGAATAGGCCTCTTGCTTGCAGGTCGCGACCCTGCGATACAAAGACACTTCGGTGATACAAGTCTCTAGTGTCATCTTCAACGAAGATTTTGGAATTACAGGAAGATCAAACAGTATTGCCGCTTATTTCTTCCTTCTATCTATTGAAATTGTCAGACAATAAATATATTTTATATAAATATATTAATCAAGAATTATTAATTTATATTTCTGTATGTTTATTAACTGTTAGCATAACACATTTTTTTATTATTTATAGAAATGTAATAGTAATAAAAATCTCATTTTTTTGAGATACTAATATTTTTTACGATTAATGCGTAAGAAGCTTGATGATCCCGAGTGTTGAATCTCGACTATTAAATAATTATCTCTTTTATTATCTCGACTCGTTAAAACGATCAAAGTATAAACGCGCCTATAAAACATACCACTTATTCGAATTCTTAACGTTAGGTGGGTGAGTACGCCGATATTTATGGAGTACTGATTACATCGTATAATAGCAAGTCGAATCACTGGGCGCGCTCCCCCAATGCATAGATCCCTTTTCCATTATACGAAGCCAGCCGAGTGTGAAGTATTATCATACAAATATAATCCTCCCTCGACTGCGCGTGTACTCGCAGAGAGAAATAATATTTGTCCTGATCGTACGACCAATTATCTCAACTTGTGCGATATGTCAACGTGCATATATGCATACATAGAATATCCATATTCTTTCTCCTTTATTACTATTACTGATATGTACAGGCCAATAAACATTTTTGATTTTTCTTACGCTAGATGCATTCGTTTAGCATCTCCAACTTTATTATAACCACCTTTATTATAGAGAGTGCGTGTATTTTATGAAAAAATATTAAGAATAATAACGATTGTATCTTTCAAAAATAAATAATAAAAAACTTTTTGCAATAGAAAATTTGAAATAGTTTTTATAAAAATACTGAATATTATTACTGACATCCAACCATATATATATTTATTTTCTTACACATTTTTTTTTATAAAAAAGATGTTAGCTTAAAAAAAAAGAGAAATATTTCGCGGTACTGAATTAAGTTGAAAAAATTTTGCTTATGTTAAGATACATGACATAAATACGAATAAAAAGCGATTTGAAAATAAAAGAAATTTTAAAGAACACACTCATTCATTCGATCGCAATACATAACTGGCGATGTATATTTCGGGAAACAGTTTGATTGGTCATCTGCACAGAATTGATTATAGCATGCTACAAGAATCTTTTTAATTAATCTGTGTCGTGTTTATCGAGCTTCATCCCTCAATCTCAAATAGTAGGATAGTAACAAATGTCCGAGACAGAATCGATGACTCTGAGATTTCTTCTTTCGTAGATATCTGTCTCTGCATTTGTTTTTGTATCAGAATCTTACATCCCGCATGTAATTTGTCAGTCATTTTGATCATTTGACAATGTTTTAAAATTAAATTAAAATAATTTATTATTTCGTTATATAAGTCTTTTATTTAAATTAAAATAAAGCCTAAGGTTTTATTATTATTTTTTTATTAGATTTAATCGTTGAATGTCATCAGAGTTTCTATAAAAACGAAATATCGTTTAATTTAATATCGTAAATTTGAGAAACAATCTATCTTCTATTTCAGTTTATTATAAATGGAGAATTAAATTTTTTTACTCTTTTCCCTATAGGAAAATCGTGTGGCAGTATCGTCATATATCGTGCAATTATGCACGATATATTATGAATTTCATTGAAATGAAATTGTCGCGTTGTCAGACTATTATATTATACAATATCCAGATGCAGACAAAGCATTTCATTCGGTTAACCCGCAAGCCGCCGTATAAGTTGGCGCAGTTTCATCTACATTGTCGACTCACTGGCAACGACTAATATAGTAGCGTTCAAATTAGATGCCTCGTTTCCTCTTGCGGGGCTTCTCTCCCGCCGTGACAGATATATCGTGAATTAACATCGTCGAAAATGGAAAAAAGAGCGCGGGATGTGGTAGCAGGAGGACCTCGTTCCCGACTCTCTCGGCATCGGCAAAGCATTCCTCATGTCAGAACATCGCCATACGTCTAATCCTCAGCGCGGAGAGTCGGACGAGGTCAGCGGGGTGCTTCGACGAGAGGCTACTGGTTTCTGGTCCCGCGCTACATGCACCTTCTCTCCGGACCGTTTGTCCGTGCCCTCGTCAAACTCGGGAGCTCGTGCGCTCGTCCTCGAGAAGACATCTCAGCGTGAACTCCACGTCCGTCTTCAACGTCTGCACGAATTTCAGCAGTGACTTCGCGGGTCGAAGGGAGAATGCGAGGAGCGATGGAGAGAAAGAGAAAGATCTTTCTATTTATTTTTTTTGACATCACCGTGAAGGGCATTAGTTAGAAATGGAGTGAGACAGGTCATTTCGAGATTCAAATTGGTATAAGGAAAACCGATCCACAGTTAGTAAACCGGTAATATTGATCAATCGAGCTTATGAACAGTGTGATTAAAAATCGAGAGAAATTCAATATTTTTTAATAAATTATAATGCAAATGCAAATTTTGGAAGAAGAAAAGAAGCTCAAAACAAAATATGTGAAGTTGAATAATTTTTTAATAGAAACTAACAATCAATATTCGTTTAGGGTTTGATTTGAATGATGGCAAAAATTAATGTACCCGCGAGTGGTATTGCGCGAGTCGCTGCGGACAAAGTCGGCGAAATGTTACTCCGAAGGTCTCTTGACGAGATATCGGCATGCGAGATCGTACGCGAGTCCTTTTTACAGTCGCGTTCACCGAACACGACAACGAGATCGCTCAGTCCGGTGACAGGGGTGCGTCCGGCTGCGTTCCGGCGTATGCGCACCGTATACGAGGAATACGATGGAAAGAACGAAGACGGCGAGGACGAGAAAGCGGGCAGCGGGAGGGGAGACACACGTTCAAGAGGCAGAAAGGGAAAAGATGGACACGGACGGAGTAGCGGTGGACAAACGGACCACCCCGCCTGCAAGCGATCATGTCCCGATCACGTAAACTAGCCGCCCCCTCATCCATCATGCCTTCGTCATGCGCTATCACGTGTTCACCGGTCTCCGCCGGGCTCCTCTTGTCTACTAGTTTCTTTTTTTCTGCCGCGTCTTCTCTCTTGCAACGTCGCAAATTGGTGCTGAAGAACGCGCGGAACTGGTTGCGCCGACCGGTCACCATTCTCAGATATGCAACTTGTGGAATGAAGCATATATTTATTCCATATAGCATATATTTATAAGCATATCACCTGCTCCTGGGCGCCTAGGCAGATTTGTTTTTTTTTTTTTTTTTTCTAAAGAAATAAATGTTTCGCTAGCTATGTTAAATATATTTAATGATTATCCTGTTATAAAAAAATGTCAGAGAAAAGAGGAAAATAAACGTATATAACATTATTTTAAATATTAGAGAAAATATATTAATGATTTACAACAATTTCTAGAAAAAGGATTGAGAATATTCCAGGGAATTATTGCCTTTTTAAAAATTGACAGTCACTTTTCTGTATTCGTTATTTC